CCCCCCCCAGCGCGCGTAGGCCTCTCCTAGAACCCTGGACCAGCGGCCTGACCGCCCACTTTGCCAGCTACCCTAGCCCTTCACTGTCCTTTCCCCCTTTCCCCAGCGAAACGCCGACCTGGGAGGGCGCCCATCTGACCGCTGAGGCTGAGCGGGACGCGAACCCGCCTGGTCTGAGCCCACAGTCGCTCTATAGCTCCATCCTACCGCGCCAGCGCCACATAGGGCCAGTACCCGGTGGGGACTCGGCACCCGGCCGAGTGCGCCTCCCTCTCGGGTCCCTTCTGGGCGTGGCTGAGCGAGGCGCACGAGGCGAGCCGAGGGCTCAGCGCCACCTCGACTGACTCTCCAGTGGAGCCCGGTGCCCTCGTCCCCCATCTCCGTTCATTGTACGGTATTTATCCCGCAGATTTTCTACACGGCTATCCTTTTAAAAACAATAGTAACTCCGTGCATCTTCCTTATATACTTTTTACTGATAGTTGGGAGTTCGCGGTGGGCAGGGGGAGGGAAGAAAAAAACGCCAGTCTGATCGGGAAACAGCGAGAGACCAGACCATCTCTTTCAGCAGCGAGGAAAGAAGAAGCCGTCGCAGGACCACGCGTATCTACAGTTCTCTGTTGCTTTTTCTTGCACATCCCTAGCTGCCTGACATCCATTCAAGCAGGCAGGCATGGGGTGTTTGGGCAACAGCAAGACCGCAGAAGACCAGGGCGTCGATGAAAAAGAGCGACGCGAGGCCAACAAAAAGATTGAGAAGCAGTTGCAGAAAGAGCGCCTGGCTTACAAAGCGACTCACCGCCTGCTGCTACTGGGTAAGGCCGGAGGGCGCGCCCCGGCTCCCGGCCCCAGCGGAGCGCGCAGCCTGGAGCGCGGCGGGCGAGCGAGCGAGCGCAGAGCTGGGCCGGCAGGACCGGGCGGGGCTGCACGCACCGCCCGGTGGCCAAGCCCAGCAGACGGCGAGAACTAGCCGGTACTGAGAAAACCCCGGCGCTGGGGTAGGATGATTGCTCGGTCCCGCTTAGCGGAGAGAAACGGCGAGGGTATCGGCACAAAGATCACAGCATTCTTTTTGTTTGTTTGTAGGGGCTGGTGAGTCTGGAAAAAGCACTATCGTCAAACAAATGAGGATTCTGCATGTCAATGGATTTAATCCTGAGTAAGAAGGCTCTATTACGGTTTTGCTTCCAAACTGCATGCAAACTTTGTCACTACTCTTCCAGACTTCCTGGGAGTGCTTTTTCTAGACAGTTCACTTAAATAATTGAATACAACTTGAATGGAAAAAAAAAAAAATTGCTGTCGAATTTAGCCAAAGCCGTTTTATGGCAGCGACCGGTCTTTTAAAATAACTTATTTTACAAAATATAATGTGCTCTGTGTTCTTAGGGTATTGGTCTGGATTATTGATACCGCTGCTCTGAGCACACTTAGCCAGTACCTCACATATACGAGAAGTCTTTAAAGAGTTCATGAACAAAGCATATTATGAAAAAAAAAAACTATGCATAGATTTCAAAAATTTTTGCACCAAAATAAGCTTATATTTAATTCCATTTCCACGAACTTTTTGAAGTCCCCTAGTGCTTTTCTCTGTATCATTTGTTGCATCTACTTCGACTTATAAACGTCAACATATGGATAGACTTAAGTAAAATACATTTACAAGTATTACTGTATAGTTGTGTTTACATGCAATATCCGTAATGATTTTGCCCTGTTTTTGTGTAGCTTGTGTAGTTGTTTAAAGCTATCAATTATAATATGGGTACCTTCAAGTTTGTTCAGGTTACAGGTTAGAAAGGGGGGATGTCTTACTCTCTCAGATAAAAACTTTGCAAATGTTGTCTTGATGTTTGATATTAACTCTAATGAATCCAGTCTAGCTCAGTGTGGCAGCTGGGAATTTAAATCCCACTCAGTTGTTTTAAATCAGTATTAAGGGTAAGTTAAATTAATACCAGTTTTCTTTCAATACAGAGAAAAGAAACAGAAAATTCTGGACATCCGAAAAAATGTTAAAGATGCTATCGTGGTAAGGATTTTTTTTTTAAAGAAAAACAATTGTTTACTAGAATGCTTAAGTACTCTGCACTCTGAACTGTATGAACCCAATTATATGTTTTAGATGATCGTACATGAAACCTAAACTTTGTTTATCCTACCTTTTCTTCATTCCATTTTAGACAATCGTTTCAGCAATGAGTACTATAATACCTCCAGTTCCACTGGCCAACCCCGAAAACCAGTTTCGGTCAGACTATATTAAGAGCATAGCTCCTATCACTGATTTCGAGTACTCCCAGGTAAGTAAATCCTTACTGAAATATTTCATACAGTAAAAGGTGGAGCCATTTTTAGTGATGTTGCTTATTGAGAAGCCATGTTAATGCTAAGTCATCATCAACTTTATTTAAAACCTTGGTCTAAATGCTTAAGAGAAATGCTTCCTTTGTACCAAAATATTTGTACCTGTTAAAAATATTAAAGATGATAGGATTATAAGAAATGCTTTTATGCATGTATGGATGAGGCTAATCATCAGGAAAAGAGTATACCTTCCAGAAATGTTAACAATGCTTTTTCCTTTGTCTATCCTTAAATGACTAACTAAAAAGTTCCCCAGATAACAACAATAGGAATTAAAAGAGTAGAGAAGAATATTTATCTGTTGGGCTCTTATCTCTCCTTTTCATCAGCGCTCTTGTGTTCTGCCATCTTAGTTCATGGGAATAACAGAAAGAAGAGAATTTGTGGTATTCTTAAGATGAGCATCCTTCGGGTCAAATGGGAAGAGAATGCATGCTGTAAATAGTGGCCTGGATCACTTCTGGGTGTTGACTATACCATGTTAAAATGCCATTTACTTTATATCTGCATTATTGAGGCAGCTCTCTAATCAACTGGATGGCAGTATTGCTTATACAAAAGGGTGATATCATTGTTAGTGTTTTCTCGGTGGATATACACTTCTTAAAAATATTGTTATTTGGTAATTTGATAAAGGGTGTTTCAAAGGAAGATGATTAAATTTCTCAGAAAGTCATTTCTGTTACATTTTCACCAAAAGAACATTTGTGCATGCACACGGGCACACGGGTACATGTGTGAGCCTCCTCATCCATGACGGTATTTCAAAGTGTGTATTGCCTGGCATGGTGGTTTGGAAATATTTTTCATTCTCCAGATCCTTTCTTTAAGAGGAAGTGTATACAGAAACCAATGTGTAAAGTAAGACCCTATCCTGCCCTGATTGAGGGCCAGGTGCCCCTGTGCACCCCACCTTTCTCTTCAGCAGAGCATCTTGGTCCTGTGGACTCTGTCTTGGAGATGGTCAATAGGACTTCGTTTTTGAAAAAGCTTTTCTTTACATCCTCTAATGTGATTTTTGCTTCTGGTCAGCATTCCAGTGTAGCCAGTAACATCTGTAGGATTTCTAAAAAGAAGGAGTTGGGGCGGCATATTGACTAGATGATGGGGCCAGAGTATCTGATATGCGGGTGCGCTATGGTAACTAAACTATGTCTTTAACTGGATGGTCGGAGGGGTAGACCAAAGCAATGCCTTAGCCACACTGATAGTCCTCCCCTAACTAGATGTCCTCCCACTTCTCTCTGATATGTTGCATGTTGGAGAAATCACTCAGAACTAAAATCCTGTTTGAAATCAAGAGCAGAATCCCCATCTACCCTCAGATTGAGACATTTATGGACAAGAATTTGAGTTGTCAAGTTTGTCCTGCCATATTTACCTAAAAGTAATAGTAAAATATCCCATTTGTTTAGGAGAAAAAGTTATTCTTAACTCATGAAGAGTTGGGACCAGCAGTTAGTATTGTAATGGCTATGTCACTGGACTCCCATGTAGTTGATCACGGTTTGCGCCCCAGACCAGGTGGCTTAAAACTCATGCCGGGCATGTGTGCATACATCCCCAAGATCCCAAGAGGAGAATGAAGGAGAAAGGATTGCAGTGTGGCCATCTCCCCTGGGGTGTGATTTCTCACTTTCTGTCTCTCTGTCTCTGTCTGGCAAGCGCACGCGCCCTATAGCAAAAACCTCTCCAAAAAAAAAAAAAGAGAGGTCTCCAAAGAGTTAATTAAAAATGCATCTTCTAAAAAAAAATGAATTTCAATTTTTTCCATGAAAATAAGCCTATACTCAATTTTTACATGAACTTTTTGAAGTCCTTTGTGTAGTGAAAAATTAAAATTTATTCATCGGCTCCACATTTCTCTCTTCTATATACAGCAAACTCACAAATGATGACAGATCCCATATTCAACCCAAAATTCAGAAGCAATCAGTAAGTCCCTGTGTGTTATCTAATGAATCCAAATCATCTAATTTGTGAAAATATTTTTGAATTAAATTATGATATTTTTCATAAAAAAAAGAACTTAAGCCATTTCCTTTGAATGCATGTGATTATCAGAAACCATAATTAGTTATTAGTAAAATAAAACAATTTGGTGGGAGCAGATGTAAATGTAATAATACTTTTTTCAAGAGTGGTGTTCTTTTGAAGAGTAAATTTACTGGGTTTTTTTATTTTTTAATTTTTTTAGTGATTTTTGTCTTAAGGCACAGGCACTCACAGTGGGTAGTAGGAGCAGGGGCAGAAGACAGAGGGAAAGTGAGAAATCACCTCCATTCTCCTCCCAGGATCTTGGCCACAGACGCACAAGCACCCCAAGCCACTGGATGTGGGACTCCAACCACAGTCAACCATGTGGGAGCCCAGCCACATAACCTCTACACCATCTGCTAACCCCAATATACTGGTGGTTTTTGTTTTTTGTTTTCTTTTAGAAGTTTTTGCCTTAGGGTATGCGTGCTTGCTGAGAGAGACAGTGAGAAGGAAAGTGAGAAATCACCCCCAGAGGGAATGGCCACAGCACAATCCCTTCCCCTTCATTCTCTTTCCAGGATCTTGGGCACACAAACACACAGTGTTGAGTTTCAAGCCACCGGGTCTGGGACTCGAACCACTGTCAGCCATGTGGGAGTCTAGTGACATAATTGCTATGCCATCTGTTGACCCCATTTACTGGTATTTTTTAAGCTTACCATTCTGTTGTCTTATATATCAATGCTCATGTCAGCAAGAATATGTTTTATTTCAAAACATAGCCCAGGGCCAGTAGATGGCATGGTGGTTAAGTGCTAGGCTCCCGCATGACTGACCATGGTTCAAGTCCCAGACCTGGCAGCTTGAAAATCACACTGGGTACATATGCGTGTGTCTCTAAAATCCTGAGAGAAGAATGGAAGAGAAGGGATTGCAGTGTGGCTGCCCACCCACGGGGTGATTTTTCTCTGTATCTCTCCTCTCTGGAGAGTGCACGCACCATATAATAAAAACCTAAAAAAAATTTTTTTGAATACCTCAGACTTTCATAAACGAAGAAATTAATATTATGTATATATAATTTCTTCTGAAAATGTCAGTTTTTATTTTTATTGTAATATGTGTACAATTTTCAGTGGCATTTGTTCCATGGTGCTCAGAAATAGTCATACTACTTATTAGATTCGAGTGTGTTGTTCTTGGATCCACATTTTGTTGGTTCTCACTAAGAGTGATTTCAAGACAAATCTCTGACTTACATGCTAACACTTGGTACATTTAAAGAAAATCAACTTTTTAAAAAAGGAATGTATTTTCTTTAGAAACATAGAAGTATAGCTAAATGTATTGTAATAGTAAACATAACACTAACTTACTACATCTAGTGCTTTTTGAGACTGAATCTTCAAGAAAGTCTATCAGTGTCACAATCTCAATTATTTGAGGGTCTTAAGTTTATTTTCCTGCAGGTATAAAAAATAACTTTTGAAACAAATAGCCTATCATTAAAAATTAATTTCAGAGTTTCTCAGTCTAAGAAGGAAAAATTAGAAGACTAGCTTGTCTTAGAAATATCTTAAGAATTTCCTTGGGGTAAATGTAGGATGGCTTGCCCTTTTGTTCTTTTGCTCTTCCTGTTGCTTTGCACTTGAACTTTAGTTGAATTTATGAAATTGCAACAGTTGTACCAGAAGGAAAGCAAGCATGTCTGGTATCTGTCAGTCAGCGTGGCAATGGGCAGTTTAGAGAGAGTTCAGATCTTTTTAGGCTCATAGGCCAGGTGTGTACTGATATGCCAAGCATTTGCAGAGCTACGAGCAGTGGAGTTAAATCATCTGCTTGTTTTATCAAGATCACTCTGGCAGTGAGAGGAGAATGGACTTTAGGGAGGCGAGAGTTGGAATACTGCAGTCATCCAGATGAAAGATATTGGACAGCTTGGTGTGGGTGGTAGTAACGGGGAGAGAGAAAAGTTGCCTAAGTTGAGATTTAATCTAGACATGGAATTATTCGGACTGGCTGAGACTAGAGAATTGAAGGAAATAGAGAAATTGAGAATGACTGAGGGCCCAACTGTGGTGGCACAAACTGCTGAGACACGTGGGAGGCCCCAGTTTCAATTCCTAGATCAAACTACAAAGCCGGGTGTGGTGATGTGATCCCAGTAATCCCAGCGACTCAGGCGGCCGAGACAGAGGATCTTGAGTTTCGGGCTAAACTGGGCAGCATGATGAGGCACCATTTTAAAAAGAGCCTGTCTGATGGCATGCACCTGCAATCCTGGATGGGAGGCTGAAGCAGGAGGATTGTGACACGGCAAGACCCTATCTTAAAAAATAAAAGAAGAACTAAGTGTTTGGGCCAGAATTTCTATGTAGATGTCAGAAAAGTTGAGAGGAGAAAAGTATGAGACATTTTTGTTTTCTTGGTAAATTAGAGGTGACTATTTGGACTTCTAGGTGGAGATGTCAAGTGGACAGTTGGATAAGCGAGTTTGGGGCTCAGTAGGGAGGTGAAGAGAGAAACCTGGGGATCAGCCAGGGGCACAGTGGTGACACTGTGCTCGTCAATGCTAGACCCACATGGAAAGGTCCCAGGGCCACCTCTGGGGGCCACCATGTGCATGTGGGGCCATACCTGCCTGCCCATGATCAGGCCTGGCTGAGGCTGAGGGTGAATTGTGGTGTGAAGGGAGTGGCTATTTCTCTCTCTCTCTTTTGTTCTCTCTCTTTCATTCTCTCTCTGCCTCTCTCTCTCTCTCTCTCTCTCTCTCTCTCTCTCTCTCTCCCTCCCTCCCTCCCTCCCTCCCTCCCTTTCTCTCTGAGAAAAAGAAACCTAGGGAGTCTTCAGCATAGAGTTGCCCTGGTAAGATGGGTTATTTAGGGAGAATGTGTAGCTAATAATGGGAAGAGAGCTAGGGAACCAAGGAGGCTATGGAGGAACCTTCCAGCAAGGT